CAAGTTTCAGTATTTTTTCAATCATTTATTGTTAAATAAAGGCTCCAACTTCAACTATATCACTAAAAGCAATCATGTTAAAATTTCAATACTATTGGATTTTCATCCATTAATTCAACAAATTATCCTCAAGGAATTTATATATACTCTAGAAGTGAAGTGAGATTATGAAAATCACAAGTAAACAACTGACCAATAAATTAAACAAATTATGGTAAGTGTTATAAAGGAAAAGGTCAAGAGGAGAATGTAGTATCCAAGAAAGTCACCTGGACTAAACTAATGGCAGTGGAGATAGAAGTGGTTGGATTTCAGATTTATTTTGGACACAGAATCAACAAGACTTGATAATGAATTGGATGAAGAGGGCAAGGAAAAGGAAGAAAGTGAGTTAACTAGCATCTGGGTAGAGAGCAGTGCCCTTAATTTATGAGATGAGGAAGACATGTAGCAGAAAATACCCAGAATTCTGTTTTAAACACAGTAACTTTGAGATCTCTCTGAGACAAACAAACATAGAAAAAGTAGGTACTTGGATATCTGTGGCTGGAACTCAGTGGAGAGGTTTGGGTTGTAAATATGAATTTAGGAATCATTAACATAATGACAGTATTTAGAGATGTATTTTCATTAGACTACAGCCTGGTTAACTTTCTTAGAATTGATAATTCCTAAATCTCCTCAGTGACACATTATTTTACAAGTCATTTTTATATATGGTTAACTAATTAATAATTCATTTCTACTAATTTAGTTCCTAAAGGTTAATTCTATTCAAGACTTCCTTGCAGGGAGCCTCACTATGCCTTCTGTTTACTACAGCAACCCAAAGATTAATTTAATTTCAGAGTTGCCAGATGCTTTTTATTAATATCTCAGTGACTGTTCTCTTTCTTCACCAAGCTAACTCTTAAAAAAACTCCACATAATGTGCAAATAGATGAAAGGGTTGCATAGGTTTGGATTTCTATATGGATTAGAATATCTTATGTTTTCTGTAAATTAAGTATCACCTACAAGGATATATGGGCTTGCTTACCAAGTAGAAGGAGTACAGGATTAAGAATCATGAGCTCTGGGTTCCGGTTCAAATACTATCACTGTTAAATTTTCTTTAAGTCATAGCCTCTATAGGCCTGCTATTTTATGGGCCAAGTGAAGAGACTGCAGATTATTTTAAAGTTTATTTTATTCATTTATTTTCAGAGAGAGAGAGAGAATGTCAAGCAGGTTCTGCATTGCCAGTGTGGAGCCCAAAGCGGAGCTCGAACCCATGAACCATGACAGCCAAAATTAAGAGTCGGATGCTTAACCAACTGAGCCACTCAGGTGCCCCAACACTATGGATTATTTTAAAGCCTATGAAAACATAACATTTTGTATATACTTGAAGGATTATCATTACCTTCATATTGAGTAGCTGGAGATCTGGAGTGGTACTGAGCATCAAGAATGGTCCAGAGTGAATATACCAATAGTCTATTTCTGGATTTCTCACTATTCGTTGTGGACTCCATAACTTGGCTTCTGTATCTATAAAACAGAAAAATCACAACGATTTCCCTCACTGTAATGAGAAGAAAATTAATAAATGTCTATATATTTTGCAGAGATTCTTAGATGAAAGAGGTTAGGAAGACACAAGTGATTATTTGTGTTGATACTCTTACTTACTAGCTTACTCTAAGTAGGATCTATCTCTTCGAAAACCTGGAAAAGCTTAGCTGCCATTACTTTGTGATTTTTGTCAGCTCCCCAGGGAATCTTGGTTTTCCTGAAAAACAAGCTATTACCTTGGGGGATACCTGAAATCTCTGAAGAGTCTCTTGCAAGTTGCCAGCTCAGGGAGGTCAGATTTGGGACCACGCTGTAATGGAAAAGAAATCTTTTCAGAAAAGTGGTCAAGACTATTTGCTAAGCATACTAGCATTTCCCAAACGTGGATCAGAGGTCCTATGAGGCCTCATTAAGACTTTTTGTGTCTTTGTTAGTGTGAACTGAATAACTGAAGGGTGATTTCCTAAGAGCTCCTCTCCACTTTGATCACTTCTCTGTTTTTTCCCCACTTCCTTTGTCTATGCTTTGTCTCAGTCTTCATTTTTCTAGTTGAACAGGCTTTCCAAAACCTAAGGCACACTGTTTCTCTCTCTTTTCAAGATCTCCCCATTCAAAATGGTTTGGGGATTTTCATGCCCCAAATGTTTGTTACCTCTCAAAGACCCAGGAGGAGATAAATGGTAGACACCAGTGGCTCTCAACCACAGGTGGTTTGGTAATGTCTGGAGACATTTTTGGTTGTCACAACTAGGAGCAGGGTGCCACTGACACGATGGAGGCCAGGGATGCTGGTAAACATCCTATTATGCACAGAACTCCCAACAACAAAGAATTATCTGGCCCTAAGGAGGCTGCAGTGCCTCCTCAGTCATCTCCAGCTACTGCAGCCTCCATAGGGATGCCGATTCTCGGGATGGTAAAGGGGCAGCTGCTGACATCAGATTGTCTGGACTTGGATCCCCAGGTTCCCTCTTTTGCTGGCTGTGATTTTGGACTAATCAGTGCCATGAAAGCACAGTTTCCTCATTCAAAAAAAGGGGCTAATAAAGTGTTCTCATAAGCTGTAAATTCCTTAGAGGCAGTGACCTAATTTTACCTGCCAAGCTTAGATTAGGGACTAGCATCCAATGCAGAGTACTAAATGTCTATGGATTGTCTCACATAGTTGTTTTGAGGCCTAAAGTAGAACACATGTATTAAGTGATATGAAGCACAGTGAAAAGGAGAAAAGCAACCCCTGATAGTGGGAATTAGGCTGGTACCATAAACTGGGATGTGCTGCCCCGTTGAACATAAACAATTTTATAGACCACCAAAATCGGACAAAGCCACTCTGGTCAGGATGAATTAAAACAAAAACAAAACCACTCCATAATCATGTCTAAAAACAAACAAACAAAGAACATTTTCCCAATCACATATGCACACAAAAAACAAATCTCCCTGTCTTGGCTAACAGGAGGGACTGCTTCATAACCAATCATAGTTTTAGTTTCTCTTGGCTCTTCTCCCTTTTTAAGTAAGAATTATTAAAATACCCCATCACAGAAGTACCACCACCTCAAAACAGTAACCAATCTAGACAGAAGGCCTGCTTCCTTGAAACACTCCTTGAAGTTACCTAACACAAGCCCATATATAAATTTTTTTTTCCGGGACCTTCTTCCTGAGTGTCCCCATCCTTCGTGGTGTGTCTCCCTCCTCTCAAGGAGACAATAAGCCCAATTTTGTTCAACGATAGCTGTGTTCTCAGTGGCCTTTGGCTGGAGGGCACTGACAATGGTGAGAGCTCCTTACAAGGTAACCACTTTTAGGGCACCTGGGTGGCTCAGTCGGTTGAGCCTCTGACTTTTGATTTTGGCTCAGGTCACAAACTCACAGTTGGTGGGCTCAAGCGCCTGGTCAGGCTCCACATTGGGAGCATGCCTGGAACTCTCTTTTCTTTCTCTCTCTCCCCTTGGCCCCTCCCCTGCTCATTCTTTCCCTCACTCAAAATAAATAAATAAATAAACAGGTTTTTTGTTTTTTTTGTGTGTGTGTTTTTTTTTTAATTTTTCTTTTTCAACGTTTATTTATTTTTGGGACAGAGAGAGACAAAGCATGAATGGGGGAGGGGCAGAGAGAGAGGGAGACACAGAATCGGAAATAGGCTCCAGGCTCCGAGCCATCAGCCCAGAGCCCGACGCGGGGCTTGAACTCACGGACCGCGAGATCGTGACCTGGCTGAAGTCGGACGCTTAACCGACTGTGCCACCCACGCGCCCCGGTTTTTTTGCTATTATTATGCCTCAAGGGGAATTGCATGATGCACCCACAGTGTTCAAGCAGGGATTTCATAAACAAGTGTTTTCAGGATTCCTGAAAGACTGCTAGCAGGCTGTTTCTTTTAGGGGACATCTTCTCTCAAGACTACATGAGGAGAGACTTTTGGTTTTGGACCTCCCAAGTTGAAATCTAGCCTGTTGTTAGGTTAAATTTCTCCTTAAGCAGGGACGCCTCTCAGTCGGTTAAGTCTCCACTCTTGGTTTCAGCTCAGGTCATGATCTCACAGTTCGTGGGTTCGGAGCCCCACGGTGGGACCCACGCTATCAGCACGAAGTCTGGTTGGGATTCTCTCTATGCCCCTCTGACCCATCCCTGCTCATGTTCTCCTCTCTCTCTCAAAATAAATAAACTTAAAAGAAATCCCACTAAGTAAAACCTCTTAAATTTTTTTTAAAAAATGTCTATTAATTTTTGAGAGAGAGAGAGAGAGAGAGAGAGAGAGAGAGAGAGAGACAGCGCGCGAGCAGGGGAGGGGCAGGGAGAGAGGGAGACAGAGACACAGAATCCCAAGCGGGCTCCAGGCTCTTAACTGTCAGCACAGAGCCCCCATGTGGGGCTGGAACACGCTAACCACGACTTCGTGACCGGACCCAAGGCCCAAGGACCCAAGTCCCACGCTTTACCGAGTGAGCCACCCAGGCGCCCCTAGTGAAAGCTCCTCGGTGAGGTGCGCGCTTCTAGCACCAAGGAGTCCCTCAAACGTTAGAACACCTCGAGGGCGCATAGCGGAGGTAGTAGCAAGGAAACTAAAACCCTAACGGGCTCATATTATTGAGCTCTCACCTCCTACCCTAACCTAGGATAAATGGCCCCGAATTCACTTGACAAGCCGTGCAGAACATCGCAGAAACGTCTGCGCTGCGAAAGACTAAGGTAAGAGCAGCCACCTGCAAGAACCAATCTCCCGGCAAGGTTCCTCAGACGTAGCAAAAGCGCACGGATCGCGGGACTGCTGTGCCTCAAGTGCCCGCCTCTTCCAGGCGGACTACAAGTCCCGGCTTGCCTGGCGCCACGCCGTCGCCTGGTAACTCGCGCCAGACGGAGCGCTCCAGGTTGGCCCCGCCGCGCGCCTGCGCTTTGGCAGGTTCTGCGCAGGCGTATTTCCAACGCTTGGGAGGAGAGGGCGGGGTGTCGTTCCCTTTCGCTGATGCAAGAGCCTAGTGCGGTGGTGGGAGAAGTGTCGGCAGGAGCAACGCTGCCGCTGGGGCCTGGGGCTGACCCGTCCGACTTCCCGTCTGTGCCGAGCCCACTCGAGCTGCCGCCATGTCCGGGGATGAGGTGAGGGCCTGAGCCTGGCTCTAGGGCTAAGGACTGAGGCGGGGAGCCCAACCCACCCCAGTGTGGGAGACCGGGCCTGCGGCCTAGTAGCCGGCCGCCGCCATGTGGAGCAGCCGGGCCTAGGCGGCCGGGAGCGGTAGAGCCAGTGAGGACTTCGGAGCCGCGGGCCTGGCCGCGTCCGGCTCTCCTCAGGGCGGCGGCGCCGAGGCCTGCGTCCTTTCGTTGGCCGGCGTTTCCAGAATTGAGAGCTCGTTGAGTCGCCGTCCCAGAAGGGGGCTTGAATGCCTGGGTAATGCCCCGAAAGAACGAGATTGAGGCTGGCGACCCCTGCATTCCTTTCGGTTTGACACTGGGGCACCAACTCTCCTCACTGCGCGCCAGGCGTGCTGAGAGGAACCTTCCTCAGCTCCGACGGAGCGCCCTCGTTGAAAACTTTGCAGGCTCTCTTGTCCTGGCCGGTGTCCGCCCTCATGCTCATAACGAGCATTATTTCTTAAAAAGACCGAGGGGTGAGGGAGATAGGACGAGAGGAAAAGATCCTTCAGCCTCAGTAAGTGACTGACCTCGGAAAGTTTTAGGGCGGGAGTCCCTGAGCCTTCCTGAACGGAGAGCTCTGAGACGTGAGCGGGAAAATCCGGCTGCAAAGCTGGCTGGATCGTTTTCTCCCGTCGTGCTTGTACCTCAGCAAATTTTCTCAAATCCTTTTTAGCCAGGTTGGTTCCAGTTCATTTAAAATCAAACGGCTTATGATGAAATTTGATTTTAAGTACTGTCAGTAGGTATTGATCAACACTGGGGGGGAAAGCTACGGCTTACCGGCCAGGTCTCCCCGCCAAAAGCAGTGCTCTTGAATTTATAATTCACTTTATAAATATTGGGGTGCTTGGCCTCTAGCGCCTTGGAGAGGAGTTAGAGGAAAAAATCGAGGCTTCCTCGAGCGTTGGCGTTTTAGGTAGACCCTGAACGTTGCTGAGAATTTCCACAAGTAGTGGAAAGGCCTGATCACAGGGTAAAGAAGTGGTTGAGAAGGCAAGTACATGTAATCACAGAAGGAATATTCTGCAATTTGTTTAAGGTTGATCCCCTTGAAATATAGTGGTGGCTAATTCACAGAAGGATTTGAAGACCAAAATAAGGAATTTTGATTTTATTCTGGAGGGGACTCCAATCTCACATTTGATTTTCCCAAAAACCTTGTAAGATTGTATCATTGTTATGCCCATTTTAGAGATGAGAGAACAGAGGCTTAGAGAGTTGTATGATGTCCATGATTAAATAGTAACTGGTGGAACCAGTAGTAGAATTCCAGATCTATGCAATATTACCTCCATCTAGATAACTAACAGGCTCTTGGTCTGTTAGGAGAGAAAACTGAGAGTCTAAATGAAGTAGGTGGTTCTTGCTTGGAGGTCATGCTCTGACTACTTTATTTCAAAAGTTCTAAGAGTAGCAGCGTCATGCTTTTTTTCTACCCATATTCTAAGCTTCTCATAACCTTTAACAGTGCCTATGTAGTACTGTAGGGTACTATTCTGTGTATGGGTTTTATGGTAAAGTACTCACAAGTGTTGTAAGGGAGGTAGATCTACTAGTTGTTACAGGAGGTAGAAGAAATAGGGCCATTTCAACATAGCGAGTTGGGGAGCTGGAGGATTCAGCTTTAACAGTGGGATCGGGTTTTGAAGGAAGTGGAATGTGAATACATTATTGAAGGGTGAACAGGATTTTATCAAGCAGAAATGGCAGAACCAGCATTCCTACAGAAGGCTTTGGAAGCCAATAAAGTATTAAGCAGCTTAGCAACTTCACAGGTCTGCCAGTCCAACTACATTTTATAGGCAGGAAACAAGGGCGTAGGGAGGTTAACTTGCCCAAGATCACACAGCAAGTTAGTGGGACTAGAACCTCTCAGCCTTTGGCTTCCACTCTGGAGGTATGTGCAGGATCTGATTCCTCTAGTACTGTCGACTAGATAAATACTCTTAGACCAGCCCTTAACTTTGGACTACTTTACAGACTTGTGAGGATCAGGTTAAAATTTGTACATGGAAATGATTTATAACTGCCAGGGACTCCCCAAGAGTAGAATTCCTGGGCTAGGATAGAGGGTTAAAGAACCTACTATTAAATTTTTTTTTCCTCTTTTCTTCACATTTCTTTTTCTTTAACACTTTATTGATGTATAATTGACATAAAACAAACTGCACACGTTTCTTTCTAAGCCTGTTAATTAGGCCAGAAACTCACTGATATATAACCTTTACCCTGGTAAAGCAGTGTTCTAGAATTATGGGGTGCTACCTAGTAAGGAAAAATTACCTAATCTGCAGACATTCATTGTTTTTCACACCTTTTTTTAAAAAAAGTGCTGTCAGTAGCAAAGATTACTGCTTATTAGTAGGCCCCATTCATGAAGTATCAGAACCATTAGGTTTTCACACAACATGGTAGGATGTTTTTACAAAAGAAGCTTTAAACTAAAAAAAAAAAGTTTCTGATTAAAAATGGATGTGTGTTGTACAAAGTTTACAAAACAGAAGAATACAAAAAATGAAAATTTTCCAGGATCCTGTCACCCAGACATGACAGTGCTTAGCTTTTGTTCTCACCTTGCTTCTCTAGGTTCTTTTGTAACTAACATTTGTCTCCTGGGTGTGATGTGGTCATAAAGTTAGCATCTTGGGTAAATTCTGTTGGATGAGAGTAGGTTACCACTTTCATGAAGCATTTTAGGCTATTATCAGCGTAAATTTTTGCTGGTATCCCTTTTCCTTACCTCCAGCCCAACCCAGGAAGTTGCAAGTAGGAAACTTTTTGAAAGCTTTGTTGTGGGCTTAAAAAAAAACAAAACAAAAAACTCAAGAGATTCTGTGGTTTTCCATAAGTGCACTGTCAGCAACTATTTGCTGCTCGAAGCCAAACTAGTCTCATAAAACATTTTGAATGTAATAATTTGTAAGTCAGACATGAAAATCTTAAAAAAGAAAAAAAAAAAACAAAGACTTTTTCACTTCAGGGCTGACCTGGCCTTATATTTTGGGGTAGTCCTTCTCTGGGCACTACTTTGGGATCCCTAGTTTCCTTATTTTTAAAATCGACTTTGCTAGGTGGTGGGAGTATAATGAGGCAATGAGTATGTGTCTTAAACATCCAGAGACAGTAATTGAGAGAGATGGTAATTATTTCAGTGTATAATTTCCTGTATGTTTATTACTCTTTACAAGGCTACAACCAAACTGTTTCCCTGGAGACTTAAGTACAAATGTTTTTCATAGGATAAGAAAACTGTAAGGCTGCACTGATTTGAGAATCCCTCAAATCTTTGGTCTATTTTGTTGGATAATAAAGGCTAATTAATATTCCAGAGAACTTGATACTTGAAAAAAATGCAGTAAATTGTAAGCCCTGCCAGACATCCATATTTTTAGTGCCTAGATTGCTGTCCTTTTGCCAAACCTCCATATTTCAGTAATGAGGATAAACTAGATAACCTCCCTGGAATAGATTGCAACACTCCATGTAGGGTGACTCAAGGCCTGATGGATCAGCAGTGGGGAACTTCCTCCTGTTCTGTCTTCTTTCTTTTTTTTTTTCAAAGTTTAATAAGTAATGTCCTTCAGACTGACTGCATTTCAGAATTATTCATTTGCTATACAATTAAATCTTTTGTGAAAGTAAAAGAGGAAGTCTTTGAAAGAAGGCTGTATCAATTTCCAGAATGTCTTGAAGATCCTTCTCTATTGGGTGAAGACAGTAACTACCCTACCTTATTACAGACCTTAGTTTGATTTCAGTGTAGCTCAATTTCTCTAATGTACTTGGGTACATTAGAATCAGTTTTTTGGGATTTTGAGTTTTATGATGTCTTAGAAATTTGATCACCCTGAATTGATGAAATTTGAGTGATAGGAATCAAGAGATACCATGCTTTGTGAACCATGAAACGTATAAATTCTAATAATTGCTAACATTTATTGAGTACTTTTGTGTCAGGCACTGTGCCAAGTGTTTAAATATATATGAACATATTTATGTAAATATGTGAGGTTCGGTTTTGCTTCTGCTACTGATTTCCATTTTACATCTGAAGCATGGAGAGGTCAAGAACTTACCTGGAGTAACACAAGTACCAGTGAGAGTCAGGATTTTAATTCAATCAGTTGGACTCCAGACCTGTGCGTTTGTTTAGAGAGGTGGGGGAGGGACAGAGAAAGCAGGCTCCACACTGTCAGCATGGAGCGGGGCTCTAACCCATGAACAGTGAGATCAGGACCTGAGTCCGAAATCAAGAGTCAGACGTGCAACTGACTGAGCCACTCAGGCACCCCCCAAACCTGTGCTTTTAAATACTTCACTAAACTGTTCCAGAAGTTCATTGGGCAAAATGCTAAATTTAAGCATGGTAGAATTTGGACAAAGATTGGTAAGGGACTTAGAGAAAAATTATTTGGGATTTGAATCCAATTCTATTTGACTTCAAAGACCTCTTTCCACTCTACCAGGCATCTCCCCTATATGTTCTTAAACTGTTGTGTCTAAAATAATGATCTGTATTTTTTCCCAAGTGATCAGTGTACACAAATCATCTAAAACAAGTTATAAATTAGTTTTTCACTTATTCTCTAGTAGACATTAGATTTAAAATGACCTAAGAAAACTTTGAATGTTCTAGAAACAAAAAGCAAAGTAAAAGGTTGTATGGAAGTTTTTCTTACTCAGAGAGAGATTAGCTATAGGAAAGGCTGCTGATGGATTTTTATAAAGGTTTATCTGAACTTGGAGGGGAAAACAGTTTTTTTTAAAATCAGGTCAAGTCTGGTATAGCAACCCCAGGTTACAGCCTTAAATAAAACATATATAACCTGGGGCGCCTGGGTGGCGCAGTCGGTTAAGCGTCCGACTTCAGCCAGGTCACGATCTCTCAGTCCCTGAGTTCGAGCCCCGCGTCAGGCTCTGGGCTGATGGCTCAGAGCCTGGAGCCTGTTTCCGATTCTGTGTCTCCCTCTCTCTCTGCCCCTCCCCCGTTCATGCTGTGTCTCTCTCTGTCCCAAAAATAAATAAACGTTGAAAAAAATATATATATATAACCTGCCTAGGCATTGGTTTTCTTCTCCAAAAAATGGGGGGCATAGAATAGGTTATTTCTACGGTCCCTTCCCTAAGTTCCATGATGCATATATAGTCTCCAAATTTGCTCATGAATTTTAAAAGTGAAGTTACTGTATCTTGTGACAGTTTACATATTTAAAGGCAGGTGCACATGTTTCAGAATCCCACCTCCATCCCTATTTAATAATACAAGGAAGGTTGGATGGACTTTGTGTGTGTAAAATCCTTTTTGGTACTTAAATGCACCATATACTGTTTTACTTCTAAGCATATACCCTTTAAGAATACAGCATGTTCCGGAGCTCCTGGGTGGCTCAGTCAGTTAAATGTCCGACTTCGGCTCAGGTCATGATCTCACAGCTCGTGAGTTCGAGCCCCATGTCGGGCTCTGTGCTGACAGCTCAGAGCCTGGAGCCTGCTTCAGATTCTGCAGATTCTGTCTCTCCCTCTCTCTGCCCCTCCCCCGCTCTCAGTCTCTCTCTCTCTCTCTCTCTCTCTCTCTCTCTCTCTCAGCCTCCCTCCCTCCCTCTCTCTCTCTCTGTCTCTCTTAAAAATAAATAAACATTTTTAAAAGTTTAAAAAAAAGAAAATACAACATGTTTGGAATGTATCATTAAAAAAACAATCATTTAGTTCCTTTTTCTTTATTGTCTTTTAAACAGATGATTTTTGATCCTACTATGAGCAAGAAGAAAAAGAAGAAGAAGAAGCCTTTTATGTTAGATGAGGAAGGGGATGCCCAGACAGAAGAAACCCAGCCCTCAGAAACAAAAGAAGTAGAACCAGAGCCCACTGAGGACAGAGATGTAGAAGCCGATGAAGAGGACAGTAGGAAAAAAGGTAAGTGGTAGATATGAAAGAGTCACTGTTGTCTTCTGAGACCTGGTTCTCTTCCATCAGTGTTTCTTTTTTTTTTTTTTTACATACAGTGACCTCTCAGCCTGATAAGGTTGTTCCAGTGAAGTTGAGGCTATCAACAGGCCATGTACACTGGATCTTGCCAGATTTCTGATAAACTTGTTCCAGAGAAATTGCTACTGAATCCACAACTTGTAGAAATGACAAAACCTCATCATTCCAGGCCTGGTTTTTCCAGTCTAACCTGTCAAGTCTCTTCTCCAATTTTAATTGTGGTTGTATTTGAGTGTAGGCAAAAAGATTTAGGGCCTGATAGTTTTGTGTCTTAGCAAGTCTGAAAATGTATAGAAGAGATTAAAATTACAACCTAAAATGTTTGGATTTAGATATCAGCACTAGTTATTCCCTCTTGCACACTGACATAGACACCATGTGACTACTAGAAATAAATGATTCTGTAAATAAAATTTACATCTGCTGAACATAAGACACTGCTAGTGATGGGGACAACTGACATTTATTGAGCATCTACTATGTGCTAAGTAAGCATCTTGTACATGTTTAAAACAAACTTGAAAAGTAAATCATTCTCATAATAAGACAAAACAAATTCATAAATAGCTCCATGAAAAACTTTGTAGTAGAGGGATCCTAAAATATTCCTAGTGTACAAGAGGGCAGGGCAAATGGAAAACTGATTGAATAAACCCATTATTTACTCACTAATAATGGATAAAGTTTACTAAGAAGTGGAAATAATTAGTTGGGCTGGAACCAAGGATTAAAGTAAGGGAGATGAGAGGGTAGACAGAAATGGAGAGAGAAAACTAGAGAGCTTTGAAAATTGTGTTAGAACCCTGACTTTGCCTTGGGAACAATGAGGCACAATATGGCTAGATTACTAAATAAATGTTCCCAACATGGTCCCCTAACCGGGTTTTTCCTACAGAGCTTTGACTTGACCTGCCATTGTGTTTTTCAGAATCATAATCTTTGTGGTTGTAGAGAGACCACTGTACTAATTAATACTCGATCTCTATTCTGATGACTAATTAATAGCTAAAATGTTGGTTTAACTCTGATGCTATGCCTTCTGCTAGTTATTAATTTTTAATCTCAATTGTCTGTCTTTTTAGATGCTTCTGATGATTTAGATGACTTGAACTTCTTTAATCAGAAGAAAAAGAAGAAAAAAACAAAAAAGATATTTGATATTGATGAAGCTGAAGAAGGTGTAAAGGTAGTATTGCTTTCTTATTGAAGGTAAAATTTGACCTCTCGAAAGGTTGCTAATGACTGATGTTTCCCTCCCTTTGTCTTGTCTCTTACCAGCTTTGCTTTTGTTATTAAGTACTTGAATCACTGTTGAGGTCATTTTCTTGGGATTTGGTCTGACTAGGTGTCTTAAAGGGATTATGGTTTAAAGGAATATAAATTTAGGTTTTACACGTTGTATTGTGTGCCATTAAGATGGTTACAAGCCCCTTGTCATTAACCACACTGAAATTGGCTAAGGAAGAGATATTTCTGTAAGAGAAATCCTATGGAGTATATATTCCTATGGTTTCTTCTGTTAAACTTTTGGTAGCATGTTGAAGATACACAAACTTATGTGTGTGCCTCTGAGCAGCAAAAAATGAACCCCAGCTTGTGATGGTGGCTGATGATCATATGGCCTATAGGAGAACAGGAGCACTGAGCCTCGTTTTATGGGGTTCTCTGATCTTGTAGGGACATGAGGCCCTATAATTGTCTTGTTACTGGATCAGTTTCCAATGTAAATACTTCAAAACTCTTTTGAACAGGGATAGGTAAATGTATGAGTAGGGGGGTAAATAAGAGGGTGGATCAGGAAGGAGATGAAAGTCTGTTATTCCTTCACTTAGAGCTACTATTTTATTCCTTCTTTCCTTCTTTCCTTCTTTCCTTCCTTCCTTCTTTCCTTCCTTCGAGAGAGAGAGAGAGAGGGCAAAGAGAGAGAGAATCTTAAACAGGCTCCATGCCCAACATGGAGCCCAATGTGGGGCTCAGTTTCACAACTCTGAGATCATGACCTGAACCAAAATTAAGAGGCACCCCTGGAGCTACTATTTTAGACTGTCCAGGAATCTTGAGCAGAGTCCACACATCTATTTAAAAAAATTCCAGGATAGTAGCAATTTTATGTATATACAAGTGAGAAGGAGCAAGCATGAGAACACATGCACATGTACTAAGTGTCCTATTTTATGCCTTCTACCCCAATTTTTCTTTGGTTTGCTTGAACTGAAGTAAATAAGGTGTATCCCACATGTAACAAAGAAATGTATACAGTAATTCATTCAGTTTTAGAAATAGTGCCATAATATTGATAACTTGGTTAATTCAGCAAATATGCATTGGTAATTACAGGGAGTCAGGCTAATTGCTAGAGTACTGAAATGAACAAGATATTTTTCCTATTTTCAGAGATTATTTTAGTTCAGGGATAATTTAGAGTCCTTTAGAACAAGATGATTTTACCTGGATTCATCTATTCTCTCCCTGTCTGAGGATTCTCTTCTCTTCCTCCTATTGTAAGGAAATTGAGAAAGAAATGTTCAGATTATACTGAATAAATGAGGTTTAAATATCCTGGGTATCAAGGTGACATATCAGAGATGTGCTACAGAAGGTCTTGGTTAACAAGATTTTTTTGGAGGCATTTCCTCTAGTAGCTTTTGTCCTGAAGAATTGCTTATGAGCTCTATTCTTACTAAGTGCTTGAATACAATTTTCTCTGCTATTGACAAGTCCTAAACATAAGAGCTTGTTTAAAAGTATCCTCATCAGGCCGTCAAACACTAAAGTGTTTTTAAGATATTGGGTTACTCTTCTGAATTTTTAGACCATCACATGACTTTAGAAAAATACTGAAAAACACTGCCATTTTCTGTGTTTCACTGGGTCTTAGCCTCAGTTTGGAAGTAGATCTTACTGGGATGAAATAAATAATAGTATAAGACTAGAAATTGGCTATTGTGTGCTAACTTATGTCAGCATATCCAAGTTTCTCATTTACTGACTGTCATCTCAGAGACTAAGTTAATATCTGCTTTCTTGTTTATGTGTTATCCAGCTAATACACATGGGCTGATTTGGTCTTTGATGGCCAAATGTGGCATTGAAACTACACAGCTGGGGAAAAAAAACCAGCAAACTACACAGCTGGATTTGGGATCTCAAGGCTGAGCTTCATTTATTTCCAGTTCTTGCAGCTTTTCTGTGAAGATTTATGAAACTATAGTAGCTAATGCCAGTAATTCAGGATGCAGGCACACAAAAATAGATGATGATAGGTAATACTGACAGCATACTTCAGGGTAGGAAGCAGGACAAGCTGGTGAAAGGACAGAGGAGATTAGAAGGCTGGAGACTGAGACTGGCCCTTTCTGGGGTGTATATGTCTCATTTCTAGTGCCATATTTACCTCCATAACTATAGCAGCCAATCTTGGGATAAGTTTTACCTTGTCTCCTTCCATTCATCAGGTGACCCTAATTCTCTGGGTTCTGCCTTTTCCCTCTTTCATGATGTCATCTATTGAAATGATGCCCAAAGACCTCTTTACAGTTCGGTGCCAGGCTGACTGTGGTATAATAAAAATAAATATTTGGTCTTTGTTCCCAGTTCTTAGCACACAGCTCCTAAAACCCTTGTCATCTCTGCAGTGACAAAAGTGTCTTTTGAGATGACTAGTGGCTAGGAGTTCATGGATAGCTTCAGGATGGGGACTGGTTGTCAGAAAGATCAAGCCATGATTAGAGAATTGGAAATTTCACACACACACCTACTCCTCCAGGAAAAGGGGCTGGAGATGAGTCAGTCACCAGTGGACAACGATTTAATTAATCCTGCCTACATAATAAAACTTCCATAAAAACCCTTCAACAGTGGGGGTTGGAGAGCATCAGGGTTAATGGACACATGGGCTGTTGGGAGAATGATATAACCAAGGAAGGTTCTGCACCTGTCTCCCTCCCTGCTTTTCTTGCTCTGTGCACTTTTCCATTTGGCTGTTACTGAATTATATCCTTTATAATAAACTGGTAATGGTTATGTGAAGTGCTTTTCTGGATTCTGTGAGTCATCATAGCAAATTATTAAATGGGGTGGAGGGGTGTTGTAAATTTGTAGTCTTGTCAGACTATGTGGGTAAAACATGGGGACCCTATCCTTGCATTGGCCTCTGAAGTGTCTTAAAGAGGGGTGCCTGGCTGGCTCAGTCAGAAAAACATGTGACTCTTCAACTCAGGGTTGTGAATTCAAGGCCCACGTTGGGCGTGGAGCCAACTTTTAAAAAAGTGTCTTAGACAATTTCTAGTTTAAATGACAAAGACTCTCTGAGCCAGTTTGGCCCACCTGTGAGGGACATTTCTTTTTATTATTATTTTTTTTAATGTTTTTATTTATGTTTGAGACAGAGACAGAGCGTGAGCAGGGGAGAGGCAGAGAGAGAGGGAGACACAGAATCTGAAGCAGGCTGCAGGCTCTGAGCTGTCAGCACAGAGCCCAATGCGGGGCTCGAACTCACGGACTGTGAGATCATGACCTGAGCTGAAGTTGGACGCTTAACCAATTTGAGCCACCCAGGCGCCCCAAGACATTTCTTATCTATCACTTCAGTTGTGAATATTTTATTTTTTCCTCCAAAATGATGCCAGCCCGTATCATTTAAAAAAATAGTCTTAGTATCAAAATGTTGAGACTCTTACTTAATTTCTCAGGATCTTAAGATTGAAAGTGATATCCAAGAAGCAGCTGAACCAGAGGATGACCTTGACATTATGCTTGGCAATAAAAAGAAGAAAAAGAAGAATGTTAAGTTCCCAGATGAGGATGAAATACTAGAGAAAGATGAAGGTAATATTGGGGCTCAGCAGCTCATTTCTGTTCTACTCAAGACTTTAACCTAGTGTCTTGGTCCCTTTTTATTATTTCCTGTTCCTTCCACTGCCTGGAAGCTAAAAGGAAAGAGTATCTAACTTGATAATGACTGTTAAAGATTTCATGGGGGAAGAATTTGGTAGTTGTGATTACAGTGAAGACATGCTGATTAAGACTATTGGGAAAATCACTGTAACTGGATTTTAAATAGTTTAAAAATTATTATTTTTTGTTAAAAGTGCTGTTTTATTAATTCTAAGTACTAAAGTCTTTAGAGAACTTGAGTATAGTCAGCGGATGGGTTTTTATGGATGTGGATGTTTCTTAAGCGCTTCAGAACAGCTGGACTTTTTTCCTCTCGTTATCCTAGTGCATTATTTTCTCTTGTGTTTGTTATACCAGGAAATAATTTGGTATGTCTGTTATCACAAATTCTAATTGGAGTGGTCTGTTAATGAAAGTTGTAACATCCCTGTCTTTAAGAAATGACAGGTTGTTTCTAATCCTTGATGCTTTTATGCTTTCTGTGGGAGGGAAGACAAATGTCTTTGAAGCTTTCATTTCTCTAGATCTGTCCCCCCTCACTTTGTTACTGCCTACCCCTCATTCTTACAGTCTTTGTTATCTATAGCTTTAGAAGATGAAGACAGCAAAAAAGATGATGGTATCTCCTTCAGTAACCAGACAGGCCCTGCTTGGGCAGGCTCAGAAAGAGACTACACATATGAGGAGGTAAGACAAATTCTGTTAAGAAAAAGGGCTAAGATGTTACGAAGAGCAAGATGTTTATACTGAATTGGAAGGGCCGTTGAAGAACAGTGAAACAGACCTAGAGAGGTCACACAATCAGTGCACAGTGTTGCCTGATGCCCTCATATGGGACAGCTACCCAGAGTTTGGCAGTCATTATGGTATTCACTGTTCCAACTGAATCCATGAACTTCTGAGGACATGGAGCCCCTGGGGCTTGGGGGAAGAGTAAAGGAAGGGGTGACTAATTTTGGGGCCAGAGTAAGTCTGGAATTCACTTGTTGCAGCTTTCCTGAATCTTTTCTATAGATCATACTCTCTCCCATAGAAGCCGCAGAATTGGTAGGGTCTTATTCGTTCATTTAACTGTGAACAGGTTGTTGCTCAGCATCCATAAGGGATGAGTCTTGCTCTCATGTAGTGATACGTGTGTGTTTAGTAAAAAGTGATGTTTGTTTTGAAGTAAAACAGTGACTCAAGTGGGAACTTTATATTCCTATTAATAAGCATGTACATGAATACCAATTGTTTCTCTATAGTTATTGAATCGAGTATTCAACATCATGAGAGAAAAGAATCCAGATATGGTTGCTGGAGAGAAAAGGAAATTTGTCATGAAACCTCCACAGGTTGTCCGAGTAGGAACAAAGAAAACCTCTTTTGTCAACTTTACAGATATCTGTAAACTGTAAGTTGGTTAATGGAGAGTCTCCACCCCAAATACCAGATTCTCAGAGGAGTATATGTTAAATGTCTTTATTGTGCACTTTGTTGCAGGTAGAAAGAATGTCGGGTTGGTTTGAGGGAGGTCACTGTTCAAGTCTGTCCTATCCATAGATATTTCAATTCATAGGTCTCAGAGCTTGTTTTATTAGGCATCCAGAGGTGAGAGACCCATGAGAGTGGATCCTAACTATAGAATGAAAAGGGAGGAGGCTGAATGTAGTCCTCAGACAGGAACCTGGGGAGACCAGGGAGGTGGAAAGGCTCATCAGGCTGGGGTAGGCCTTATAAACAGGTGCAAGAATGAGCTCTGGGAAAGCAGCTGAATTTGATGTGCTTCTTTCTTGGATGGCCGTTGCCAAGACACGATCAGTGAGATTTTAGATTTCTTAATTACCATCACATTCCATGTGTATTTCAACGCCAGGTCACTGTCTGGGTCTGTCACTTCCCACAGCTCAACTGCATCTCTTCTGAGAGGCTTCTTAGGGCAACCAATCTTATCCATTTACTGTTTGTTATTCAGTTTCATAAATGATACATGCTTATTGCAGATAAAAGTCAAAACAATGATGGACAGAAAAGAGAATAATCTCTAAAAATTCTACTACCCGGAGATAATCACTGGTTTTCATTATACACATTACTTAAAAGATTTTAGACTTTTTTTGCTGATGACAACAGTAGTATATTTTTATTTTAGAAAACTAGAAAACATAGACATGCAAGAAAATGAAAAATCATCTGTAAGTTCACCATTAAGAGATCATAGTTTAATACTTTTATGTTTAGCTAGTTTTGTGCATGTAGTTATTTTTAAATAAATTGGTGTCGTACTGGTTTTTAATCTTTTTTTCTCTTAGTATATCACAAAACATTTACCCATGTCATTAAACTGTCTTCATAAATGTTTTTAGTAGCTACACAACATACTCTAACAGCTCTTAGGTGGATACAGTTGCTTCCGTGTTTCCATGATCAGCAAAGCTTCAGGAAACATTCTGATACATGTATCTTGACAATAACTCAGAATATAGCCTTAGGGCAAAAGTTCCCAAAATGGAATTGCTGAGTTAAAAAGAATGGATATTTTTTATGGCAAACATTGACAAATTGCTTTCTAATAAGCTTGTACCAATTTATACTCCCACTAGCAATGTAGGAGCTTACCTGTTTTGTTGTATTTTCACCAACCCTCACTACACTTTGGGAAAAAAATAACTTTAAAATTGTAATAGTAGTACCTGGTTTGGAACAAGTTCAAACAATGCCAGGTGAATAGAATTAAAAGTTAAAATATTGACTGGCATTGCTCTGTACTTTTTCCTATGTGTACTTTTGTTGTTGTTACATAAATAGAATGGATGTATCATTAACTTATTTAACTGCTCCCCAGTTGGTGAATATTTAAACTGTTACCAATTTTTCTACAGTTTGTGCTACCATGAAATATTTCCCAATATATTGTCCCCCCCCCCCCCGCTTTCTTTTAATGAAAATTTTCAAATAGGAAATAGAGATTACCATAACAAACACCGAAGTGTCCATTGCCTGGGGTTGGTATATTTTGACACATTTGCTTCAGATCTTTTTCTTTAAAGAGGGCTGTAGAGTTAAAATTACAGACATCTTTGCATCTCTTTATGATCCCTTCATTTTCCTTCTCAGAAAAAGATGTTAACCTCTAAAGTTGGTGTTTACTTTCCTGTCCATGTTTCCAGACATTTTTTCATATATCTGTATTTATAAATAACATGTTGTTATATGGGCTTTTAAATATAAATAAATGGTATCCTATATATCTTTATTTCAGGGTTTGATGAACTGGTCACTAAAATTCACTGAATAGTTAGGTAATCAGATTAAAACAGTGAACAGGATGGTGTTTTAGACATTTGGTTCCATTTCCAATGAGATAAGGTTTATATATTCCATTTTCTTTTTAGATTACATCGTCAGCCCAAACATCTCCTTGCATTTTTATTGGCTGAATTGGGTACAAGGTAAGAAACTATATTCACATTTATATACAGTTATATATATATAATAGTACTGGATGTTTCAGAGGAACTTCTCCTAACTTGAAAAGGATACATAACACCCTTAGAACATTCACCTGATAATCAGAGGAAATTTTAGGCCAGTGAGGGAAATGATTTCTGAGAGCTTGGCTGCTGAGGAATAGAGAACAGAGTTTTCAGTGGCTCATCTGTACAGGCCTGCTGGTATTCCTGTCATTAACTGGAATTCTTGGGTCTTTTTATGGAGCAAATATTTTTGGAGGAAACGATTTTCTTAAATCAGAATTTATTTTCTAAATTGTTAATATGAAGAAATAGAGCTTTAGAAGTTGATGAGTGGCACAGGAGAAATACTGAAACAGAGCCTTAGTTAGTTATTTCCCTGTCTTCAGGGCTCACCTGTTGAAGGCACCAAGCCAGTCCCTCCCCATTCAGGGAGACCAGAATCCCTGGGAGGCCATCCCAATAAGTGTGACCATAAATACTAAAGATAAGTGATGTAGACTTAAGAGCAGTATGATAATAGCAACTCACACATGCTGAGTACCTGCTGTGTGAGAGGCACTGTGCCAAGCACTTTTTTGAGTACTGTCTCAGTCTTTGTAACAGTCTTATGAACTGTAAACAGAAATTAATACCGTCTTACAGGTTTGGAAACTGTTTCATTGAAGTTGTAGTTGGTCACATAGCTAGTTAATATCATAGCCAAGGTGGCAAACTCAGCTCTGTCTCTGGAGCTTGAACTCTTAAAAGGCTTACAGAGATAACTAAGGTGTTCTGCTCTCTTCCTACTCAAAACTCTTCTTAAAACCGTTTGATGCAATTGGCTACACTTGCTCTGGGGTTAAGGAGTGGCTTACTTTAGTGGTGGATAAGTAGGCTCTGTTGTAGAATTGTGTTTTAAATGTAAATTTGTTACTTTATTTGTAACTTACATAAACTAATGCAGTAAAAGCTATCAGTGGTTTTCTTACTCAGAATAATTTTAGTTTTTGTAGAGGTGGGGTATTAAAACAAGTTGTGACCAGTGAACTTATGGTCAATGGGCTAAATATTATGGCGTTGTTGAGAAAATTCCATTTCTTTTGACAGTGAATGGAAAAAAAATCCTACATCGAGCATTGGGATCACCGTAGCCTGAGATTAAGGGTTACAATCTGTGGAGGATAATAAACCTTATAGTTAAAGGAGAATCACAGGAGAGGTTCTTACAAAAGGCAGTTTTATAATGAGATATAAAACAAATGTAAATTTAATGCTACCTGGCTGAATTTTGTTTCACTTTGTGATTTGTAATTTTTAACAAATGTCTAGCCCAGAGCTTTACCAAAAGTGCTTGTCAGCACCTTTTCAGAAAGTTTCTCTTTAAGCACCATTGACAATATGTGGCCTGAGTTCAACTGTACTTCTTTATTGGTAACTTTATACAGTTCACACATTCAATGTACAAATGGTTTTTAATATGTTGACATAGTTGAACCTTTACCACCACCCATCTTAGAATATTTTTATCAACTATGTGACTGAATCAAAACATTTAGTGCTTAAAATTTTTAGAGATACAACTCCCTATTTTTATATTTATAGACCCCCTCACTGTCTAGTACATGGTATACATTCAGTAAGTGTTTTTCTTTGTTGGATGAATAAGCCATCACAGACAGAATCAATTTGTTTTAGACTTAAAGGTTACTAGAGACTTGGTTGGTTGAAATTGGATTTAATGTTAGGAAATATGGGTAGGTCATCAGGCACCAACTACTTAAAAATAAATTTTGAGAAACCAGGTGGTATCGGACTGCTCTAGAACTTATGCCACTGAATATATTTTAAATTCATCAAGTGTATAAAGGTCCTTTGGTTCCTTACAGGAAACAATAATGGAAATATTTTTGCTTTCTCTCATAGTGGTTCTATAGATGGTAATAATCAACTTGTAATCAAAGGAAGATTCCAACAGAAACAGATAGAAAATGTTTTGAGAAGATATATCAGTAAGTGCATAATTCCATCATCTTGCTCTGAAATGTTCTCATCAGGCTGCAGTATTTTGGGGATAAGGGAGAATGATAATGATGGGAAGGTGGGACAGCAAGGTGATTTCTTGGCAGCTGTGTAGCAGGGAGAAGGGTTTGGATTTCTTAAGGCGCAGCAGACCAAGGTGCTGGTTGGTTGTAGGCTGAAGGCCGAGTCAGAGAAATCTGTTTGCATTCAGGCCTGGCCTGTCTTTATCATCTTCCTAATGACTTAAAGTTGGCAGGTCTGTTCCCACCTAGGTAACCTAGTAAGTTCTGAGTGGCTCTCCTGTAGACAGATCCAGGAGTGGCATCTGGCAAGCACCCCTACCTCCTTGGACATTTGGAGTCTTTCAGCCCATGATTTAGTACCTGAAGTATCACAGCAAACACCTTGTGTCTTTACCCCCTAGAATATCTAAGTTAAGCTAAAGTTTTCCTTGGTCTGGGTACCATTTGGGCTTACGTTGTTCTGTGTAGAATATGTTTGAGAGAAGAAACTTCTGGCTCACTGCAGTCAATCACTGCAGTCAACAGGTAATTCTGTTTGCTTTTTCTGCAGAGGAATACGTTACCTGTCACACATGCCGATCACCGGACACAATCCTGCAAAAGGACACCCGACTCTATTTCTTACAGTGCGAAACTTGTCATTCTCGATGCTCTGTTGCCAGCATCAAGACCGGCTTTCAGGCTGTCACAGGCAAGCGAGCACAGCTCCGTGCCAAAGCTAACTAATTGGCTAACCACCACTGATTTTTCAAAGTGTGTTGTGGAGATTTGGCTGGACAGGTTTACCATCAAAGTGGATATATCATTGTATTAAATACAAGATAGAAAAGCTGCCAAGTTTTTTGGCTTGTGGCTGGTTGGTCTGAAATCTTTGCAAGATGCCGATGCTCAAGCTGTTGACCTACTCATTGCCTACTTTAACAACTGTCAGAAAAACATGATGGGGTAAGGCGGTGCTTTTTTAAAATCGTTCATAGACTTATGTAAAATGCAAGATAAATTAAAGTTATTATAACAGTGATTCTTTCAACTTGGTTTGTCCTTCAGTTTTCTATAAAAACTGTGCTTAAAATGAATATAGCAAAAACAGTTTATGCCTGGGCTCCGGTGAGGGCTCTATAGTCTCATCCTGTGAAACTGGAGATTGGTAGGTGCTTCAGCTGGGCAGCCATTTTTCTTCTCAACTTCTCTGGAGATAAAGCTTCACACGAGAGAGAGGGTGGCTGGAGCATGAGATCTGGGAGGACAGCCTGTTTTCAGTGTCAGGGGACGATTTCATAGATTTGAATTATTTTCATTATGTGAGGATTATTGCTACCGCCTGACTGCCAAATCCTCCTGCTGTTACCATATGAAGGAATACAAGGTGCAAGGTACCCTCCCCCTCAGAATTCCCTTTCTTATTGACCACTAAGAAGATCTTAGAAACCTAGCCTTTAAGTATGATAACTGGCACATGGAGAAAAAACCCTAGTTGGGAATCTATTGGTGAGGAAGCAGCGTGGCATGTACTGTACAGAGAACTTGAGTCTGACCTATGACCCTAGGGAAAGCTTTTCTTTTTCCTCCCTAACTTGTGTTCTGGGTTTGAAAAAGGCCCACTACAAATGTTTTTCTATTTTGTATATTAACAGTAGCTTTTCGGTGTGACCATGAGAAACCAAGAGGTGATGCTGCCTGTGTGGTGTTTTTGGTGCCTCCAGTTCTGCCTTATAAGCATTTGGCCGAACGGTTATTTTTCCATTCAGCACAGGGAGAAAGATCCCTTCATGTGTCTGTGATCTGTCTTGCACACACTTCAGAGGATAAGGGCATATCGCTGTTCCTCACGCTCTTGTTGCCAGACTCCTAAGTGGCCCCAGGAGCAGTCACTCAGCCCTGAATGTCTTACCCATGTTTTTAATCACTGTGACCTTTAAAGTACAGGCCAAGTGTTGTAAAACATCTTGGCCATGAAGTGGTGGAGGGAGGAGAGTATTTCCTCGACTCAATAGGTCCCAGGGAAACCACACACTGGCTGAGCTGCCACCACTGCCCTGATGAACTCAACTGTTTATGATGCCATCTTCCTTATTTTGTATCTATGCCCACATAGTTCCCAATGTCGGATGTTACTGCGTGAATAAAGCAAGGATGAGTGCCTCTTGTGTAATTAGCGCTCCACTGCTTTTGTGTGTGTGTATATGTGTTTAATTCATTTATTTACTTTAGTGGGACCCCTTAGAGAAGATAAGATTTTACAATTTTACCTGTGGGACAGTTATATTTGCAGTTTCAACCCAATTTTAACTTCATTCTCAAAACAGTCCCTGGACTAATACTAACCTTTTAAGATTGTTGAATTGAAATGGGATTAACTCTGTATTAACCCATTCAAAACTAAGTTACCCATTCACAGTAGTATCAACTTCATCTCTCTTACCTCACGCTAACCAGCTCAGCAGCAAGGAACCTTCTGTAGGGTGACAAAGCAAAAGGCAACTGAGGGTTTTTGATCAAGATCCACGTTTTGGTTGTGAGAGGGGAACCAGACCACCATCTCCAAAGTGTGTCTTGAGTGTTCCTAATTATGCAAAGGGGGGAAAAAAGGGTTCCATTGGTGGTTAAAAAAAGTTTGAGACTAGATGAACAGGTTCCATGACTACCTAGGAAAAGTCTTTAGTACGCTGATAGGTATTTTCATGACTACATAAACGGGCAGTTATATCTCTAGTCTTCAGAAAAACCTTTCTGACTCCATCTTGGCTCATTCCCACCTGCCCACTGCATGTAAAATACTGTTTCTCCTCCCAGCCCACCATAATGTAGGCACCGAGAACAAAGGTTTTTGTTCACTCATGCACCCCTCCCCCAAGTACTGAGAGCAAGTAGTAGGTGTTCCAATACTTGAATGAGTTTGCTTAAAAGCATAAAATATGCAGACTTTTATAGTCCCTTCTCTCCCCCGCCCCAACATCTTGCAGTCTAAGTGTTCTGGCAAAAAAAAACTGCTGGGCTGGACATCTGGAAAGAAATGCTGTTGTGGTATATGAGGCCCAGTCTGACCTGGTTTCCCCCACCCCGATCCTTTGTACTGGCAATTCTAAGGTTTCACATTTGAACAGAATATTAGGTTTTGCATTATGTTTAGAAGTTGGGCTTTGTAGCATGTGTTATACTTTTTTAATTGAAAAGATGGATTTATAATTAAAAACTTAATCCCCATAATCCTACCAACATAGAACCTTTTAGTACCAAGAACAGTTTTCCAAGTTAGTATAGTTTTCATAATTTTTTAAAGCTGCAAAGAGTTTTCCATGTTCTACCATAGTTTATTAAATTAGTGCTCAGATGATGCATGTTTGTTAATTCTTGGTAATACTAGGAGTATGAGCTCTGACCAATCTGGAGTGACAGTCCTCTGCCATTGATTATATTCTGTATTCTCATCTATAAAGTATGAAAATGCCTACCTCAAAGATGGTGAGACAGTATATGCCAAGTGCTTAACCCTGTCTGGCACCTGGAACTATTTTCCTTCTGTTGAATACTTCTTAGACTGAATTTCTAGAGTCAATGGGCAGACTTTAGGGTAGCCAAGTGTACAAATCCTGAGAACTGTGGGTATTGCTTCTATTTTTATGGTGATGGTGGGTTTATTGGGCTCCTATTATAGACGCTCTCAGGATGGTTGCCTGTCTCACAGTGATCCTGATAAACCTTTGGCCACAGGTGCATCAAACTCTCCCAACAATGTGCAACAGAGGCATAGTCCTTGGAGCTTTGTCACGTTAATGGTGCTTTTGAGAAGAAAGGACCAAACTCCTACTGGGTCCCCTGTGTCTGTCATGGCTCCTGTCCTTTCAAACCTTCCCTGACAACAAAATATTACCGAGCTCTTCTGATCACTGCCCCTTGATTTAAGCTTGGCTTCTGTTTTATTAATACAACACTGGAAGACCAGCTGTTGTAAAGGCTAAGTATAATGGATATTCAACGTTTTGGTTTTTTTTTTTTTTTAAAGTAGGCTCCACGCTCAACATGGGACTTAAACTCATGACCCTGAGATTTTGATTCACATGCTGTACTGACTGAGCCAGCCAGGCACCCCTCTGTTCTTTTAATTTATTAATCAAATATTCTTAAATAACTCTACGCTATTCCTAAATATTCTTAAATAATCTGTTGTGTAAGTGGCTAGCACTACCAAGTCCCAACTTTGTGCCAGTCCCTGTTCTAGTGCTTTCTTAATCAGCACAGCGACTCTTTGAGGAAGATATACTATTCTTCCCATTTTATAGATGAGGAACAGAGACTCAGAAAGGATAAGCAACTTGCCCAAGAGGTTGTAGTCCCAGGCATTCAAGCTCCAGAGCCTGTGCCCGGCCTCTGCAACACTGCCTCTCCACAACAATGTCATATGTTCAAAAGTGTTACCTGAATGCCTGCAGCAAAAGGCAGTCCCCGGCCCTCCAGGAGCTTATAGTTTCGTGACAATAGGTGTGCTAATAATAATAACCAGCTGTAAATATAGTCTGGTAAGAGGGGTGACAGAAGTAGGGATGGCCAGAGCTAACTCAGGCCAGGAAGGTGACTAACTCAGGCCAGGAAGGCCAGATAATGAGCCAGATGAAGACAGAACATTCCAGGTAAAAGCAGCTGGAGCTGTAAAGACACAGAACCCAGATAGTTCCTTCCACAATTAGTTCTATGTGCTTGACAACAGGGGTCAGATTGGGAGATAGAAGACATTGAGTTAGAAAGAAAGGAAAGGGGTCTGGAGTTTACCCACTGGGCAGTGAATAACTAAATGATGGTGCTAAAGAAGACAGACGTGGGAGGCAAGCATCAGGGAGACTAGCTGAGAGGTGACTTACAAAGTTCAAGTAAGAGAGAAAGAAGGGCCTAACCTAAGGCAATGGGATGGAGACAGGTTAGAGCCAAGACATACCGAGGAAAAATTAACATGACTTGATGACTAGAGAGAAAATGCTGACATGGGTAACAGGTGGACAGTGGTGCCATTCCCCAAGATGTGGACGCCTGAAGAAAAAGACTCGTAGCTGGGCAGGCCTGGACTGTGGTGCTCTTGGGGAGCACTGAGTTAGAGATGGAGATAGGGAAGCATTACTGTGGAGTCTGAAGCCATTGGTTTGGTTAGCCAGGAAGCTGTATAGAAAAAGAGGGTAGAGAGGTACGCATAAGAAGAAGAAGGAGCAGAGTACAAAGGAGGAGGAGAAAGCCAGGAGAGCGTGCCGTCACAAGAATCAGGAGAGAAATTTCAGAGTCAGGTTGCGACAGGGCATGTGGGAAAGGACTGCCCAGGTGTGCATCCTGCCTTCCCCTCTTCCCAGGGGACATGTTATTTGGCAAACTATTCAACCAAAGTTCATGATTTCCCAAACCTGTAACATGAGAGGAGTATCTCCAGCTCTAAGGGATTATTCTGAGAGTTAAATAATGTGATCCATGTTCAAGAACTAGAGCACCCAGAAATGCAAACATATACACATATATATGTTATATCCCTCTTTCTAAAGTCCAGTGCTGCGGGGGGGGAGGGGGGGCAGTGGGGGATAAGCGACGTATAATTAAGAACACAAAGGTAGGGGCTCCTGGCTGGCTCAGTGACTTAATCTCAGAGCCATAGCTTCAAGACCCACGTTGGGTGTGGAGATTCCTTAAAAAAAATAAATAGGGGCGCCTGGGTGGTTCAGTTAAGCAACCTTGGCTCACAGTTTGTGAGTTAATCCCTGTGTTTGGCTCTGTGCCGACAGCTCAGCCTGGAGCCTGGGTCAGATTCTGTGTCTCCCTCTCTCTGCTCCTCCCCTGCTCATGCTCTCTCAAAAATAAACAATCAAAAAAAAATTTTTTTTAATAAAGTTAAAAAAAAAACCCCACAAAGGTAGATACTGGATTGAATTGTTTGCATATGCTCCATAGTTATTTGACTAAGCTACACATCCGATTTTAAAACTTTTTAAAACCCTTATGGGCAAGAATGAATGAGATAGTCTCTGGCCTTAAGACAGCTCCCTGTGTGGTCATGGAACTGAACACTGGGGTGGGCAGGGGGTAGAGGAGAAACGGCAGGTAGGTTTTAGAGGTAAAAGGGGGCTTATTGTTAGAAGGCACTAGGATGTGGACAAGAAATGGGGTCCATGTCAGAAAGTGGGACTGGGTGACCCTGTGTTCTGTGCACCTGGAAAAGCCAAACCCATGTACTTGCCCAAATAAGCCCTGGCTGCTGCACCTTTTTTATGAGGAGACCCCTCAGGAGGTAGACTGAGGCAGGGATTCAGGGAGGGGTATGTGTGCACCAGGGGTCCACTCACCAGTCAGAGGAAGCAGGTATCGTGTCCATCCATCCATACATACATGCAGGAGGGCCAGCTGGGCTTGCCCCACAGGCTTAGTGACCAGATGGACACACTGCTCTTGACTGCAGTAACTCTTAGATGTAGGGGGAAAAGCCTTCTTGTTATTATCTTCCTTTGTCTCCTTTTTATAATATTCTATTTAATGTTTAACTTTATATCTAATATTTAGAAATTAAATATTACATACATACTGAAATACACTTTGGGAAAGGGTGAATATAAAAATAAGAGAAAAGAAAATTACGGTCTGTTATTTTTTTTAAGAGAAAAATCACCTAAATCTGGATTAGGTGATAAGTGAACTCATTAGGTATTGTCATAATAACAGTGTGCTCTTTTCCACTTTTCAGATAAGGAAGATGAGGCTCAGAGAGGTTAACTGACTTGTCTAAGGTATACAGCAAATAACCTGCACTGGAACTCAATTACACAAAGTCTATACTCTTAGCCCAGTCCCCCTAAAGTAGAGCAAACTACTTAACCTTTTGAGCCTCAGTTTGTGTTCAGATTATCTGATATATAACAAATCACTCTAAAACTTAGCTTAAAATGATGATCACTGATTATTATCCTTCATGGTCCTGGACTTTGACAGGCCTCAGCTAGGCAGTTCTGTCTTGGTTCTCAGTCAGTGGCTGGGCTGGAGTCATCCTGAAGGGTTCCTCATTCATGTCTGACAGCTGATACTGGTTATCAGCTGGAACTTAGGGCTGTCATGTCAGGCTTCTCCATGTGGCCTGGGCTTCACAGCATGGTGGCCGGGTCTCAAGACACAGAAGTAGAAACTACTAGTTCTTAACACAACTGTGAGACTGGCCTAGCATCACCATCACTGTATCCTACTGATTAGAGTCCAAATAAAGGGGAGAGGACAGAAATACCAGCTGTCAATGGGGCTAAGTTTTAGAACCTCCGCATCTATAAAATCTGGAAGATGGACATAACTGCACAATGAAGACCTGTTATTTTTGTCATGCCAAACTTCCCTTCTTCTAGCAGCAGAACTCCTATTTTTCTTTTGGGGATTCTTCCCTTTCCCTGTCCACACTCATAGGCCCTGTGGCCATGCTCTGCCATCACTTAGAACCTGAGAACAATGCTAAGAGAGGAGACCAAGCTGAAGAATAAAGAAATACATTCCTGATGACAACTCTTGAAGCCCTGCATCCACTGGGTCTGCATAACTGTATCTGGAACTTTAAATTGGTGAAACAGTAAACTTCCCCCTGCTTAAGCACATTTGAGTCCAGTTTCTACAACTTGTAACAGAAAGTTCATATTACATCCACCTAAAAGGTGGTTATAGAGATTAAATAAATGTAAAATGTGCCTTTTACACAGCACATATTCACAAGTTTTATTTACTGTTATTATAGAATAATCTTATTACAAAGAATGTGGCCATGGCTATAGGGATTTTTATTTGCCCAAAGTTAATCAATGGTCGAACTGGAATTCAAACCCAGGAAACCTAGATCAGAATCTTGCCCAGCTTTATACTCCGTATTTCTGTGGTCTTGTCAGATGGTCCACTGTAGAGTGTATAATGTCCTGATAGGATTAGAGATGACCTGGCCAGGCCTGGCTAATACTGAATGGACACTCATGTACTCCCATTTCAACTCCTCATCCATAAAAAAAAGCAAAAAACAAAAAAAAACCCCAAATCATCATGTTACTATTTCCTGGCTATCTAAAAACTGCTCCAAATCCTCAAAAAGCATTCCAGCAGCTGCTACTAAAAACATTCTGAGTCAGCACATGAAACGAGGCCTGAGAGAGATTAAAAACAAAATTGGGCCATATTTTGAGACTCCTCAAATTAAGAGTTTGGACTTAGCCATATGACTTGCTTTGACCAAAAGAACCTCGCAAACATGCCATGGGCAAGAACTTGGAAGAGCACTTATACACTGGAGCTTACCTGGTCTGCCTGCTAGATTCTGGGTACATGTGGCCCACTTGCCCTGCTGCCCAGCCAACTCCTTAACAAGTGGGTGAGATTATCTGGGACCCATGGCCCCCCCAGCCAATCTGCCAGCTCACTTCAGCCATATCATAGCCCAGATAAGGAGAACTGCCCAGCTGAGTGCAGCCCAAATTTCCAAGCCACTGAATCAGAAGGTAATAAATGTTTATTAAAAGTACTACACTTTGGGCTTGCTATAAAAGTTAACTGATGATAAGAGGCCCATTTACTATCCCTGATCTAGGCCAACCCCTTGCACAGATGAGGAAACGGGAGACCTAGCAAGGAATAAGACTCGCCCTGCATCACAAACTTTATTGGCAGCAGTACAAGGAGGAAAGCCAGTAAAACCACTGGTTGTGATAATTCCTTCAACAGCTGCCAGGATCACAAATGAGGCTTCAGATCTTCAAAATATCTATGGAATCATAGCCCTTTGGGTAGAATCTGGTATCCTATTTCTTCATCATCTCCTTTTGGTTTTCAGAGGTTGAACAGATAAATGAAAACCGATGAGAAACGGAATGAGAGAGGACTGGGCAGATGTATGCAGTAGGGTTTTGTGGATGTGAATTTCCCACTCAAATCTTCCCAGGGGCTAAGTAGTTTAGGGCCTTTTGTGGGATGCCAGGATGGGGATCTCCATCTGTCCAGGACGTCCTGGTGCTAGGGTGATTAGGCAGGGCCTCCTTGTAGGGCAGACATTTCCTGCCCTGGAAGGGATTTTCCCTGCTCTTCTGCCTAGCATACTACAGAAGCTCACAGCCCCTCCTATTCTACCTGACCCCAAACCTGAAAAGTGAGTGCCTCAGTCACTATTGAGTATGGCCATATAGAATCCGAAAATGTTATTACAGTGCAAGGGGCACAGAGCACTAGGCTCTGGAGACTCAGGAACATGGTGCCAGCCCTCAGTGTTAAGTCCACTAAGGCCTCAGCCTCTACCCTCTCTCCCCCTGCTGCCCAGGGTCCCTGACAGGCACACATATGGGGACTGTGAGCCCACTTGTGGAGCTGAAGCGCCAAAAAGGCAGAAACTTTGCTCCACATCACGTTATGAGGCAATGGCTAAGCGAGGATGGGGGCATTTGGCTCAGCTGTGGGTCCAGAACTTGGGCTGCTTCAAGGGTGGGTTAATCAGGCCCCTGCACAGCTTGGGAATGCAGAGCCACACTCAGGCTTCAGACTGCTAGCCAGCCAATGACAGGCAGGAGGGGCTGCCCAGGGAGGGAGACACGAGACAACAAAAACTTTCCTGGGTGATTCCACACCCAGGGTGGCCTAGCTTGAGCACTGTCTCGAGCCCAGCCTCTAGCCTCCACCAAAACCTGGGGCCAAAGTCTGGGGAAAGTTTGATGGAGACTGTTGTAGAACAGTTGGTCTGAAATGGGATTTTCAACAAGAATTCCAGCAGGCCTGACACTCTGAGGAACATGCAAAGACGACTGGAGAGCCCAAACCCCTTTCTGATGGGACCGAATTCTCGGTGTTGGGAAAGTTTGTCTAGAAGAGAGAATGAACAATTTTTGAAGAGCAGTAAGCTGAGAAGAAAGACTTCTCAGAGGTGCCTGACACTGGAACAGCAGCTTAATAATGAGTGGGTATCTCTCAGATGGAGAAAGGAGCAAGAGTACGTGCCAGACCAGGAGCAAAGCACGTTTCTGGGTGTCTGCCCACCAAAGCCCCACACCAGAGAGACCAGACTAACTGACCACACCTTTGTCACCAGGTTCACAGGACTGGGGAGGGTACTTATATAACCTATGAGTGAATCAAAAAGATCCGCTGTGGCAGGTGATCCTCTCCTAGGAATTTGAACGCAGGGAAATTCGTCAACTTGTGGAGTAAAATTAGGACAGAAGAGGAAATTTGAACGAACACTGTCAGTTGTCAGAGAACAAAGCAAACATCTAGACAGGCAGCCCAGAATAGGTACAGGGAAGCCACAGGTATCCTGATGCCAACTTCCTAATGCTTGAGGTTAATGGGAGTGAGGCTCTATGACTTGCTGCCTATGAGAGGGAAGGATTTGTTTTATGTGGGGCAGGTGACAAAAGACAGGAGAGGCCAAAGTATACAGGATCATGTACAGGAGTTGGGAGTTTTGTCCCAACGGTGAGCTGTCAGGTAAGGGTTTTACAGGGAAGGGACATGACTCAGAAAAAGCACCATAGTGGCTAATGGGAAATGGGGCAGGGAGAAGCCAGAGACTGGGAAGCTGGTGAGAGGACAGAGCCTAAGTGAAAAAACACAGCATCCTAAACTAGGACAGAGAAGAGAGGACAAGACAGAGAAGAGAGGACAAGGCAGTTTCCAGAATCATCTTAAAGCTGGGAAAGACCAGACTAAATGAGAAGCTAAGACCTGAACCTACCACTGCCTAACCAAGTAGCTCATAATTGCTTGGCACTTCAGCCACCAAAGTATTCTCTTGGGCACTGGGACATCTGACCCTCCCCCAAGAACCCTACTGGCCATTTCTATTTCCATTTTAGCTGTGGAAACTAAGGCCTAGACAGCCCAGCAGTATGCACCCGAGACAATGCTCCCTAACCGGGAGAAGTGAAAGAGGAAAAAGAACAGGGTAAAGCAAACCAGACTAGACTCTTGGCATGAAGCAGACTAGACCAGACTCTGGCTGGGCAGGAGGACTAGGGTACCTTAAGAAAATAAATACAAACCATCCCATCTCAGAGCAAGTTGGGATCCAATCTCTTTATTGTCAGGGTACCCTCCCCGTGACCCTCCCCTCTCCAAACCTATAGAAAAACCCCAAGCCTGGGAGTGTCCTGGGAGGGGAGGTAGAGTATAGGGAAACCTCTGTCCTCTGGCCTGGGCGGTGCCAACAGGGAGGGTGCGTGGGGAGGGGAGGCCGATAACTGCACCTGCAGAGGATGTGGCAGTGGCTGGGACGTGTGGGGGAGGAGGTGCCTGCTGCCAGCTCTCCTGGGACCCGCTGGGGGTGGTATCCAGGGGTGGGTGCCCAACATGAGGCCTGATACAGTACACGCCCTTCTCCTGCTGCTGGCCGTTGCTCCTGTCAGGCTGAGAGAGAGAGAGACAAAGGAGAGACTGAGGCTGGCAGAAGAGCCCCTGGGACCCATGATTACTAGGGCTGGGAAGACAAAAGGGCAGAACGGTGTTTACTGTTTGCGGACAGAGATGTGCCTGTGCTCTGGCTCTCGCCTCCTAATTTTCTGGCCATACAATCTTGGGTGAGTCTCTCCCCCTCCCTGAGCCTCCATTTCCTCACCTGAGCCCTGCACCTCATCTGAGAACTGGCTTCACAAGGTAAAACTTAGCTTCCTTGGTAAAACCAACCATGAAGCTCCAAGAGGATGGATTCCATATATACAATTTCCTAAACTGTCTGGGAAGCTCTTGCTGGTGGAACACCTCACAAAATGAACGTGTCAGGTGTAAAGACACCTCTGAGGTCAAGGATTTCCTCCACCCAAGCCTGTCTTACCCTGAACACGACCCCCAAAGAAATGGGGCAGAGCAGGGGGGCGAGCACTGGCCAGAGAGTAGGCTGGGACACCATACACCACTGGATTCAAACCTAGGCTCCACCGATTACCACCTTGGGATCTAGTGAGATATATGCTACCTCCCTGCCCCTTTCAGTGCCTCAGTTCCCATGTGTTACACTGATACAATCACAACCTTGCAGGGTTAAGTCCTAGCCCCTAAGCCTGGCACAAATATCACTTTGATGATGAACTGCTCCCTCTGCCTTACCATGCAGAGCTAGGACTATGGCCACAGGAGACTCCTGACCATCTCCCACATACCAAGGACCATCAGAACCCTGTATTTTGCTAAAGCTGTTCCCTCAGATACCTCTCCCTCAATCCTGAATAGGCTCAGCTAAGTATCAACTCTTCCACCACACCCCTATGGACACCCTGCCTCTACAGCCCATCATCCTGCTCACACTGGGTGGTCACGGTTTGTGTCTTCCTCCACCAGACTCTGAACTTCTGAAGGGTGGAGCTGGACAATATGCCTCAGAGTGCACTGAGGGAACCCGTGCAGGGCTGGCCTGCCTAGCCCATCCATGGCTCCTGCTCCCACAGCCTAGCAAGTTCCTGCCACAAAGGAGCATGGTCAAATGGCTGACAGGATGGAGGGGCTGTCCTTGCTGGGCATAGCAAGACCCTGCCAGGTCTGCTTCATGGCATGCCTGCCACTTTTCTTCACCCCCTGTCCACCAGAAGCCCCATACCTGCTTACTGCAAGGCCCCATCCTCCGCGTCTGTGTCCTGGCTGTGCTCCTGATAGGGAGGAGGCAACAAGAGACCATACATCACTCACTACCAACTCTGAGTCATGCCCTGGGGCCCACTGCACTTCTGGAGACCAAACTCCGAAAGAGGGATGATTATGGGACCAGTTTCAACACAGCTGGCTTGGGATCCTGACAGGATGGTCTGAGCCCATCCCCCAGAAGAGAGACGGGACCAGTCAAGGGCGTTCTAGGTGTGGCAGGGGAGCACATTTCTACGTAGAAAGACCTTCTTAGACTGTAGCAGGTTGAAAGCCGCCTGGTGGACGGGTGAGCCCCCTATCCTTGGGACAGCTAAGCCTTCGTTAGGGCCTTTATGGAGACTACTATGCCTAAGAGAGTAAATGGGTCCAAAAAAGGAGACACAAGCTAGGGACATAAGGAGGAGGATCTCTTAACTACAGTGGCCATGAGCCCATCTGTCTTCATGCCAGAACCCAGCAATGATGAAAAGGAGAAAGTCCCAGACCTAGTGAAGAAGTCAGGGCTCTAATTCTGGCTCATCCCCTATTAATTATAAGGCCCTGAGCAAGTTACTCTACTCCTCAGAGCCTCAGTTTCCTCACTGGCTAAAACATGGGAAGAGTAGTAACTTTGCACAGTACGACGCTGTTGTTAAGGTTAAATAAAGTTAGAAACTACAGGGCCTGGTGCTCAGTGAGTGTCTATTAGGTAAACAAGTAGAAGGCACACAACAGTTATCATACATACTCAGAGTCTGGTCTACCTTCCTACTTGACATAAGCTCCTTGCCAATGACTTCCCAGCCGCACTCTGAAGGGTTCCAATAACAAAGAACTCCCTCCATGCCTCTCATGAAACAACCTGTTTTATGCTTAGGCAGGAATAGCTTTTAGAAAATCCTCAGGTAAAGTGGATACCCAACCTCCCTGAGGCTTCCCCAGGCAATCCTAGTCCTGCCCCCTGAAACTCTGCAGACTGTGCTCCCTGAAGCCCCTGACTCTTCCCTTGTCCAACCTGTATGGAAACCAAGTCTAGAATGGGCCCTGACTCAAGAGAGGTCTACTCTGGTCCTCAGTGGGACTTTTGACTGGCAATAGAAATAGGTATCCCCCTTCCCAGGAAGAGGAAAGAGGGAGCTCAACAGGGACACTCAGCAGCTCAGAGGGTTCCCCCTTCCCCTGCTCCCCTCCTATGCACCCCTCCCCAGCTGTGCCCTCACCAGCTCTTCCTCGCTGTGTGTCAGCAGCCCCTCCTCATCGCCGTCGTCTCGAGCCTGTGCTTCTCCCTGGGGCGTGCCTGCCTCAGAAGCCGTGTCCTCTTGGGGGGCTGGTGGCCGGCTGCTGCCACCACTACTGCCCCCACCACTGGCACTGGCACTGGCACTGGCACTGGCACTGCCGCTGTCACCCTTCTTCTTGCCATCTTGAGGGGAAAGGGGTGGGAAGAGGAGAATAGAACTCAGCCTGGGGCAGCTGCCCAAGGCAGGATCTTAGCAGCAGCTAGGCCTCGGCATGGTGGATCCATGTGGCGTTGGAGGCCACAGCCCTTCTCTGCCCCGTGCGCTGACCTCCCCACACTCTGCCCTGTGCCCCTGGTCCCCGAGCTGGGCAAGGACCCATGGAAGCTGACCTGGGTTGGCCTTCTGCTCCTCGGCAATCTGCTCCAAGCGGCCCAGCAGAGCATCGATGTTGGACTTGATCTGCGTCAGCTCTGTCTTGATGGTCTGCAGTTCACTGCTCTTTACTGGGAGCACAGGGAGTATACATTGTCACCCAGGGGCTGGGAGCTTGACACTAACGTAAGATCCTCCCTAGTCCCATTCTGTCAACCAGGAAGGCAGGCCAGTGGCAGGAACTGTCTTCATCCATGGTTCTTTTGCCAGCAAAAAGGCTGGAGCTGCCCGTGGCTTCTGAGACTTTTGAGACCATGCCTATAGTAACCAGTCCACCCTTCTGCACCTGGATCTCTTCCCATGACCTCTCAACAATGAAAGGGACTGGAGATGGAGGAGAATGCAGGTGTGGTGTGCACCTGAGCAATCATGTGTTCTTCCTTATGTTAAATAGGGTGGTGCCCAGATTTCAAGGTGTACGGATGGATGTGGGTGTTTTACCATCAGATTTCCTGGGTGCCTGGCTGCAACATGTGTACACCAGAATGAATGTGCACACCAGCAGTGGGCCTGTGCAAACTTGTCCTTATTATAGGAAAGAAGACACCTTCTCCTCACTGGGCTCCATGTCACAGCACTGGACATTTCTGTGCCCAACCCAAGCCCCTCCTCCTCATAGGTCAGGCTTTTCCTCTTACAAATGCAGTAAGAATACTCACTTGGTTGTGCTAGAGCTGCAGAACTGTGGGAGATTTGTTCCTTCATCTATTTTCCAATGTAAAAATACATGATTCTATTATTTTGCTAATGAGGAAAAACAAAAAAGATCTAGGAAGAAGATACAGTCACTCACACTTGATCTTGGCTGAGCTGGTGGTAATGGCTGTGGAGCGGGCAAAGAGCTTGACAGGTATGGTGGTTTTGACACGCCGGACCAAGGGGACTGTGACCCGGGGTCGCTTCACAGGGACTGCCCTGGGCACTGGCACAGGTGACAGGCGGCCCCGATAGTCGAAGAGCCTGTAGGGGCAAATGGGCCAGAGGCTGCAGCATGGCCTGTGGCCACCAGAAGGCACTACGACTCTAGACAAGCACGTGCTGGTGAAGGGCTGGGCAGCCTGTACTACACACCTCCGCCTGCTCCCAACAAGCCCTGGGAGTGAAGAGGATGGGCTTCTGGCACCTTAAAAGCTGCTGGGACTCTCATTTCATCCACCTTTCCTACCAGTCAGGTCAGATGAGGGCAGGTGAGGTGGCAGGTGGTAATGGTTTCAACCCTGGTTCAAGGAAGGAGCAAACAGAGACCAGCCCCAGAAAAGAGCCTTCCCCAGGTCCCCCTAATACCCAGGCCTGCCGGCTTCTGCTTCTGCTCAGTCAACTGCCACCCCAACCTCTGGTCAGAATTTGCAAATGTCCCTAAAGCAAGGCAAAATTCCAGCTGGGAACAAAAAGATGTAGGAATAGGGAATCCCTAAGCCTGCCTGAGCTTCAGTTTTCCCGAAATCTGCTTAATGAGGATGACTACCTCAAATTCTGTGCCAAGCCCCCACCGTACCCCACCCCAAGGCTATTGTGAGAGCAGGGCATGAGAAAACTTGGTTAAAAGCACACATGTTAAAAGGTGTGATAGGTGAAGGCCAGGGTACTGAGACTCTCAAACCAGGAGACTATGGCCTCAGAGGCATGAGGCTGGAGTCCCAAACACCTGTTCTAATTCTGGGCCCTCTTTATCACCCCAGCCCTCTTACTCCACTTCAGAGATGGAGGGGAGGAGATCCATTAGAATATCAAGGTTGGACAACCAATCAGATCCCTGGGCTCCCAGACTATGCTGTCCCCAGTGTCATCACCCAGCCCCTCTCCGAGAGAGTTTCTCTTCCTGCTCATCAGTCAGAAGTTCAATAGGCTGAGTAAGGGTATCTCCCACCACATCTGCTACTATTACCTTTCTTCAGGGAAACACAGCCCTGGGGGTACACTATGGAATCACTTTGGTGACAGCCAGGAAACATGCCATCACTAGACAATGCAATGCCCCATGGCTTGGCATTCCTTTGTTCAGGGAGCCCCTGCCCTGGGGTGGGGATGGCTGGAGATGGAGAGTCTCTGGGAATGGATCCAGTCCCAGACCCTGCATTTCTGCCCCTAAGGGGAGGGGGCGGCTCTGGCCTTGGTCAGAATCACTAACCACAGAATCCCAGAGCTGGAAGAGCCCTGAGGGATTACTTAGTGTAAGCCCATTTTACAGACCGGGAGGGGATTTGCCCAAAGTCACACAATCCATTCAGTGGCAGAGCTGCGATTAGCACCCAGTCTTCTGACTGACTCTCAGGCTAGGGCACATTCCACTACACCGCACTGTCTCCTGAAACCATTCAGAGGTGAGAAAACCAAGGCTCAGAGAGGTTCTGTTCTTCCTGGACAGACTGAGGCAGGCAGGATGGGAAGGACGAAGGAAGGGAGAATTTTGGAACAGCCTCCATCATGATTTCCATTTGGGAATGTGGCTAGTGCCATAGAATGGAGCCCACAGCTCAAGGCTGGGGTCTGGGAAGGCTTGAGGGTGAAGGGATGGGCCACATAGCCTACCAGGAACTAATTCAGACCTCCAAAGGACTGCTGGCCTCCTGGCTATAAATGAAAGGCCAAGAGGTATTCATTGAGCTTTTGAGGCTCCTTCCACCTGGCTGAGCACCTCAAATAGATAAGGAGACTAAACAGCAGGAACATGAGGGCTCAAACTCCCTGCACCTACTCTAGTAACCTTTTCTATAATCCAATTTGCTATGGTTATCTGTCCCTTGCTGTCTAGTTCCACTGAGTCCCAACCCAGGATTAGGAGGTGGAAGGGCAGTCAGAATGGGAGACAGTGTGGGGTGGGGAACCTCTGACCTGGGCACCTGCAGAACTAGACCCTAGTTCCAGCTCTGCCACCAACTTGTGGAACAGCCTTGGGCAGATGCCCGTCCACACCTCTGGGCTCCAGTTTCCACATGGAGGACTGAGTGGGCTACACCAGTAATCTCTCAGGACCCTTCCAGCTTGGCTTTTTCATGCCTGGGCACGCCCCTTCCCTGCTCACCTGTCGTAGAAGTCGTCCCGGTAGTAATCATAGTCAAAGCTGTAGCCACTGGGGAAACAAAGGGGAGAGGGCCGGGGCTTAGGGACAGCCACACAGCCCACTCTCCACAGGCCCTCATCTCCAAACACCTCCCCAAATTCTAGGCTCGGCACACTGTCACCAACCAATGTTCACTCCCTCTGTGGAAAGAGGGACCAATCCCACCCAGATGGAGAGAGATAGAAGAGACAGAGCGCCTCACCTGTATATGGCAGATGCTGCTCTCTTTAGTCCCTTGGGTCTGTTGGGCTTGGGCTCTCCAGCCATGTTGATATCTGTGTGGAGAAAGGAGGCACAGTCAGATGCTGGCAGGGTACCAGGGAGCCCAAACACTTACACCTTCCTGCACAGTAGCAGCAATTTCTATGTATGAGGGACAATGGACTCTCCTAACTAATACAACCAACAGAGGTCTTCACACATTAGACTCCTACCCACACATCACAGAGATATGCCTATTTACAAATTCGTATACATTCAGATGCACGCACGCTCACACACATATCACTCACACACACATGCCGTGGACATCACACATATAAGCATTCTCAAGCATGCTGATGTAAATAAGTACTTCAGATACATATCTTCACATACTTGTTCACATATCCAGGTAATCAAGTCACACACAAAAATAACATATAGACTCTCAAGTACACTGAGACTTGGCTCCGATGTCATATACATAACTGCCTATCTACAAATGAGCCACATTCAAGCAAATATTCTACCAAACATCTTTCTACCTAGAATGATGCTTAGCCTTATGACAGGATCTCAATATCTGACAAATAAATATGCATATCTTCTTACACACACTTAGTACATTCTGACACATACACTTTACATATATACATTCTAAAGATGTGTTCACATATTCTCCACATGTTTAGTTACATCCACATATCACACATTCAGGAATACATCTATCAATATCCCTTTTTGAACATACATATACACAGAAGTAGGTGCACTGTACACACTCCACGGTAGACTACCACATGGCCACATCATATATACATAGCACCAAGGCCAAAGGCACCTACTTCACCTTGTGCTCCTAGCCCCTCCTCCCAGCTCTCATAAAGAGTTCCAACCTGGGGGCACCTGGATGGCTCAGTCGGGTTAAGCATCTGACTCTTGATTTTGGCTCAGGTCATGATTTCATGGTTCGTGAGTTCAAGCCCCGTGTCGGACTCTGCACTGACAGCATGGAGCCTACTTGGGATTCTCTCTCTCCATCTCTCTCTACCCCTCTAGAGAGCTCACTTGCTCTCTCAAAATAAATAAATAAACTTAAAAAAAAAAAAAAAAGAGTTCTAACCTAAGACATCTGTAGCGTAATGTTACAGGCTATGCTAGTCCACTCTGTTCCGTTTCCCTTAGGAATCTGCATTTTAACCAGAATCATAAAGCTTGTCATTAAGAGTCACTATGAAAGCAAAGACAAGACAGAACCATTTTTGAGAAGCTTCTAAAACTCAACCCTGCATATTTTATAAATACTTAATTTATAACTTAAATACAATTTATAACTATTTAGTTATAACATTTCAGATAGGGGCAGGGTAGCAAGTAGTAGAGTAAGGGAAAAAGAAAGGTCTAAGAGGGGAGCTGGAAAGTGAAGGCCAGCACCTGCTCAGGAGAATACCAGGAGCAGGGCCAAAGAGAGACGCTTACCCAGGGTCTGCCCGGCCAGCACCCGCCCATTCTCTCCCAGCACAGCTGCCCGGGCATGACGCTCGTTGGCATACTGGACAAAGGCATAACCTTTGTGCACAGAACAGCCGGCTACACGGCCATACTTGGAGAAGATGGTCTCTACATCTGACTTCTTCACCACAGCTGTGTTGAGGTTTCCAATGAAGACTCGAGAATTGATAGACTTGGGGTCATTCTTGTTGGTTACGTTGCTTGTCTGGATCTTCAAGGACATGGTGGCCACCTAAAAGAGAGAGAGAGAGAGAGAGCGCGCCACTGTGAGACTGGGTCTCCCAGTTGGGCTCAAGGGCTACCCATGGCCCAAATCCTAGCTAAACTGGATTGCTCTGTGCCCTGCTACATACACACAACCGTACAGCATTCAGCCTCCCCTTTAAACATCTCACTGGGATGCTGACCTCATGGCCGGGTGTTTTATATATGTTCTCTCATTTGGTACTGACATGATACACAGAACCAAGACGTTTCACAAGGGAGAAAATGCACAGTCAGAGGTCACAATGCTAGTGAGCAGCAGGGCTGGGATTTGAACCCTGGTCTGCTGGACTCTAATTCTTTTAAACCCATTCTTTCATGCTTATCTCAAATGTTACACCATGCAGGATCTAAATCTGAAGACCCTCCATAGTTTTTCTTCTGTTCCTTCAATGTATAACCATGGTGAGGAAGTCATATGGTAACTGCAGGTAATACCTGCTCTAGAACACCACCACATTATGAAAATTGCTCAGTTTGATGCAGACACTGACCTAGTTATGGCTGTCTTTATTGGTACCAACCATTTTTTTTTTTTTTTTTTCTCAACGTTTATTTATTTTTGGGACAGAGAGAGACAGAGCATGAACAGGGGAGGGGCAGAGAGAGAGAGGGAGACACAGAATTGGAAACAGGCTCCAGGCTCCGAGCCATCAGCCCAGAGCCTGATGCGGGGCTCGAACTCACGGACCGCGAGATCGTGACCTGGCTGAGTCGGACGCTTAACCGACTGCGCCACCCAGGCGCCCCAGTACCAACCATTTTTAAAAAGGTGAGTGAAATAAGCCTCACTGAGCACTCATGGCAGGCTAAGGGTGGCAGGCAAGATTGAGTAATCACAAGACTCCATTAAATATTATTACTATTATTCATATTTTACCAGAAATAGACTCTAATAAGTTCTTTGACTTGTCAGAAACAGGCCAGTTGGTCCCCACAGCCCATTTTTTTCATCTCTATCACTCTCCTTCCCAGAGCTAAAGCCAATTTAAATATTATAGTTAAGTCAGCATATTATCTATTTTTATACTAACTCATTCAAATTTTGTTGTTTGCTTAGAGATAATATTGTACCTACACTTCACTCTCTACACCCTGGCAATGTCTTTTACCCCAAGGGGCCATACAAATCTCTCCTACCCCCAACCCTGGACATGCTATAACAGAGCACAGGCTCCAGAGGAAAAGGAAAAGGAGGCTTGATGTCAGTAGGAAAAGTCTAACAGTAACTACTGGCATTTCTACTTACTGGCCCAGACTTCTCTGCTCACTGGCATGGGTTTGTACAAATCCCTTTGGAACCTTCCTATCTCAATACCCCATTGTAGAGCTATCACAGAAGGTGCTGAAGACCCTAAGCAGTATGTAAAAAAAAAACCAAAAAACCTCTCATCAACCTAGGCTAACTGTAAACACCTGCTCACAAACCTAATATTTTGGGGGCAGAGGGAGCTTCTTTTCAGGGAATTAGAGCAAAGCTAAGTATAGGCAGAGAAAGCGCTATCTTTTGTTCCACTATGGTAAGAGACCCTTTTCTCTTCAATCCTCCCAGTCTGGAAGCTGGCATGTTCTGACCAGCAGATGGCACTCACTGCAAGGAAACCATAGGCTGGACCTGAGAATAAGTAATTCTGAGGAAAAACCTACTCCTACCTAGGGTAGGCTTGCAGTAGCTTGATGGATATACTGAAGTCAAGTGTGTACCATCCTAGGTAAAGGACAGGGGCTGAGAGGGCACTGCTACTGATGAAGGAGCTGGTGCCAGCTTTGGAAAGGGCCTGGAAAGGATTCTTTGGTGCTCAGTTTACTTTTACGTCCAGTCATCATTTATTAAGCAGTGAGGAACATAAAAGATATTATCCATGCAAGAAAACACTTAACATAACGTCCATGTGCAGCAGAAAATGCTCCATGTATGTGGGTTCCCTTGCCCACCAACCCCCCCCCCCCCCCAGTCCTCTGTGATAATCCCTCGCCTAGCTGGATGACAAGCCATTCAAAAGTTAATTCTTCATCCATCCATGGATATATATAAGAAGTTTGTGGGGCTCCTCCACAGGCATCAGATAACTCTCCTGGTTGGTTCAGCTCAGAGAAATGAAGTTTGGGCTCAGGGAGAAGCCACCTGCTGTGGCTGAAGGGAACCAACCACTGGCCTGGGTTGTAGACCAAGATGGAAAGAGAAGGGGGGCGATGGTTCAGACCTGTTGATGTCTACTACCTCTGCCACTGACCTGGCATGGGCATAACAGGTGCTGGGCTCCCTCCTACCTCTGGCAGGAGCCTCTAATACCAACCACTGAGCAGGAAGCATTTGCTGAGCTACTATGTTTAGTTCTACAGCAGGATCAGCATTCACTCCTTGGCTGGTGAGAAGTTCTTCAGGTTTGGCAGTACTCAATCTTTTCTCTCATCACTTGGGGTTTGGGACAATGTACATAAAAGGACTTTACAAACAGTGAAACTCTTTATAGGATCTATTAATTACGCTCTGACTAGTTGAATTCCTCTGTTCTGACAACACTGCCCAACACTGGTAAGGCCCATTCTAGATGGAGATGAAGGTCAGACTGGAGCACATTCTGAATAATGTCAAGAAAAGGCTGACAAAAGCCATGTCACACAAAGGTTAGTATAAAAGGGGGACATGAATGCATGTATAAAAGCATAAAAGCCATGTCACACAAAGAGGGACACGTATGCGTGTGGCCAGGCTGGGTGAGGAATCTGCAGGGCCATGAAGAAATGTCCATCTGAGGCATGCTCCAGGCACCAACCCCTATACTCCACCCACTCCCCCACCCCATCTAATCAGCCCTTAATCTGCTTTCAAGGCCTGTACACTCTTCCAAGGGAAGGCTGTGCTGCTACTGTGCATACTCCCTAAGCCCAAAGGAATAGCTATCTACAGGAATATGGAAAAGCTTCAGTGTCTAAACACATGTTTATGAGGCTCCTCAAAGTGAGGGATCAAGTTGAGCTTAGGAAATGAAAAGGTGCCCAGACCAGTTCTTCCAGAACTGCTAGGTTCAGGTATAGAATCCCAAAGAGTCAAGAATTCTAAATTCAGACATAGTCTTCCAGGTTGTTACGAACCTAACAATTTGTTAGCTTCACTTATAACCTCCAAACAAATATTTAGACATATGGCATGTAAGTCTCCACCTGTACTCTTGTCCTGTCCTGCAAATGGTAGAGGCAGGCCTGACGAAGGCTTGGGCACAGTAAGTGCCCAATAAGAATTACGGAGGAAGCAATAAGAATAATGTCCCAGGAGGTGCTGAGAAGGGCTAGCTGTAGCCCTAAATATGTATGGCCAGGGCTGGCGGGGGGTCCCCCAGGTATCTCATTAAAACACTAGAGTCTCTGACCCAAACACTCTCCTACCCCCTGCAGACCAACCATTCCCAATTTAATACTCCCCCCACGATTCTTTCTTGGTTCTTCCAGGCTTCCCCCTAGCTTAGAGTATGAGCCTTAGTAAATATTGACATCCTATTCAGCAGAAGCTGCTTGATTTGATAAGCTATTTCCCCAAGCCAAGCTCTGCCTCACAGATTAGCTGTGTAATTGAGAGCAAGGTGTCTGCAGCCCCCCAGAGGCCCCATGTTTAGCAATGAGCCAAGGAGAGTTGGGTAGAAGGACGAGCCAAGGAGAGTTGGGTAGAAAGATGATTCTTCGTGGTGGTAGGAAGAGGAAGTAGGGGCCAGACTTCTTCACAGAAACTTCTACAATGTCAGATTAGCAGGGGCTTCAGTGAACATGGGGTTTATATACTCTCACCCTGAGGAACAGAGGGGAATGGACTTGGCCACAATGCCCCAGCCCATGAGTGGCAAGGCCGAGAACCCCATTAGTCCTCCAAGTTCTTAAATTCCATCTTTCCTTTGGGCTGGTGAAAGACTGCCCCTCAGGACAGTGAGGGGCTGGGAGGGGGCAGATATGCTATTAGAGGAAAACTGGGTACTGGCTCCCAAGTAAGGGTCTTGACCTTTACCTGCTGGTGAAACAACTGCTGCATAAAAGCCAGGCCCTTAAGCTAATTAAAACCCACCAGAGACACAGGCTTTGAAATGCAATTTACAGCTCAAAGGGATGGGCTCACTTCTCCAAGCTAGTAAGAACAGAGGAAATTTGGCAAAAACAAATTGTTTTTCCCAGTTGAAACATTTCAGATGGAAGCTATGTTTTAGAAGCCAAGAGCCCAAGCTTGAACATGTGGTCAAGTAACAGGGCTTTGTAAAGGTAGAAATACCCTAAAACGTATGACGACCCCTGAACTCTGGGTAAATGAGACCCCCAGAGAACCATGAAGGTAAAAAGAGCTTCTGACTCTATATGTGCCACTTTATTTAATCCTCACAACAGCTCTGTGAGGTGTTTTAAAATAGGGGAATGAAGACTCAGGCCAGGTTATTGGTTAACAGAGCAAAGTTGGAACTGGAACCCAGGTCTGTTTGACTCCAAAAGCCTATTCAAAGAGATGTCTTGGATACTGATTGCCAAGGTAAGGACTTTAAAGGACTTTCGTGAACAAAACCAGTTTATGTCCTTGATCCTGATGTTGTTAGTTCCATTTTATAAATGAAAAGCTGAGGCTCAGCAAAAGTAAGTGACTTACTTAAGGTCATCCAGCTAGTAAAGGGAACAGCTAGGGGACTAGAATCCAGGCTGCTACACACCACTGTTTCACCAACTGTCCCAAGGCTCTGACTCTGCCATGTCAGCCCTCATAATCCTGGCTATCAGGATCAAATTTAGTCTTCAGCCTAACCTCTGAGGCACTTAGCCATCAGAATGCCCACTGCCTCAATTCTGTAAATCCTACCTGGCACTGCATCTCTTCTTCAAGCACTAATTTCAAAAGAGGAGCTGCTGGTCTTGGTCCTGATGCCTCCCAGTGCCATTTACAGCCTCTGTCTAGGCCAGCCCTGCTTGACACTTCTGGTCTCATTCTCCAAAGTGCAG